CATCAAGCAGTATATGGTGGTGATGGTGATGGTTAATTTCATTGTCAACTATACAAAAACCAAGAAGATATACAGAGCAAGCACCTTTGTAACCAAAATCTGCATTAAGAACAAAAGCAGGCATAGGGTTGCAGGCCCCACAACTCTCATTGGGCTGCACATCCTTCCCTCCTCTCTCCCCTCCAGAAGAGGCCTTGGGCCTGATTACTTTTCCCGAGCCATTTTTTTATATTTTACAACACATGGCTACTCTTTCTCAATCAAATTAAAAATTTGCACTATATGTTACAAAGTTTCCACAAAGGTGGTCAGCTTGCATTTGTCTCACACTTATGTTTCTAAGGTGATTCATCCATGTTATAATGAGAAATATTAGCCCATTAGTTTTCACTGAAATATTCTACCTAATGAATCCTCCATGATTTACATCAACTTTGTTCTTGCCCCATTGTGAGCTACTCTGAGCAATGCTGACCGAAACACTCTTGTGTGGGTCTGAAGGTTCACATGCGCAACAGATTCTCTGGGACACATATCTGGGCTGGTGGTACGTCCACATCACCCCACACAGGCAAAGGCCCTCCAGACTGCAGAGCCCTGGGCATAGGAAGCAGCAGCAAGGCCCCAAAAGCCATGGCCTCGAAGCTTCACAGGGGCAGGTCCTAACAGACTTCTTCCTCCTGCTACTCTATGGGGACAAGAATCTTGTCCCTCAGTCCAATTCACTTTCGTGCTAGGCAGCCAAGGTTGATTGTCATCCAGGTGAGACAGCTCTTCTGAGTTCCTTTTTCCAGCAATCAAGAGCAGCATGATAGGATAAGACCCTGTGACTTCACAGCTCTGCTACTTGGCTCCTGACCCTCCTTCCCTTCCACACCATCTTCAAGGATTCAAGTTCTCGCTGACTTGCTTCTGTTCAGGGTGGAGGCAAACCTAGGGTTAGCACCTCCTCCTCCCTGATGATAATGATGCAGGAGGATGCTGCAGAGCAGATGCAGGAGGTCTATTAAGGCAGCCTGTCAAAGGTAGCTGGACCTCCCATGACCCACAAGGGGAAAGGAGGCCTACAGAAGGGAAGGGACCTGCACAGACTCGCCCAGATGGAGGACAGAAAATTCCAGATCTCTCAGCTTCACCACCACTTCCCTCAGCTGCCTCCTGCCCTACTCAGCATTTCAAATGGCAATCACTCATTTCACCTGGCACCCGATGACCCATGCTGTAGGTTCTTTCATGTACCCATAGACAGCTGCAGAGACTGGGGCTCAGAATACTCAGCCTTCAGGGGCAGAGCCTGGCCTACATTAAATTCCAAACTACTGGCTCAAACACTAAACATGCCCAAGTCACTTCAGAATAACATACTCAAACAAGGCTATTCTCAGCAAGGTGCTATTAAATATTAACCTTTGAAAAGTAACTAGTATATTGCTCTGTCACCATGCTATCCACAGGGTGAGCAGAAGCAGGGTTTGGTATGTCTAGGAGACAGGATATAAAGTACCTATGGGCCCCACCATTCCTCAGTGCTGGCTCTCCAGTGGGGGTGTTCCTCTGGCTGAACTAGCTATGCAGCTAACAGTAGGAAAATATCTCTTCACCATTTTCAGATCTGAACACCACTCTGCCACCACAGATTGAGAAGCTGCTCATGTGTGCGGATGTGGATCTGGCTGGTGTGCTTGGCACAGTGTTAGACACAGTGGCCAACTTGGACGTGCTGTCTCTGTTAGACCTCTCTTCCGCCCTCAACATCCTTGGCGACAGTGGTCTTGGTAGTGTCCTGGGCAAGGGGAGCAACAGCAAGTCCTCAAAGTCACCACTGTCTTCGCTCTCAAAAGCCACTGATGCAGTCAGCAACCTGCTACCCTTGGCCCAAGGGGCCCTGGGCGGCCTACTACCCAACACTGTGGAGAAGGATCCTGCAAAAAAAGCTGACCAGGACTCTTCTCTTCTCTCAAATCTCCCCCTGCCCCTGGGTGGTGTGCTCAACACAGTGGGCGAGCTCACAGAATCCACCGATGGCGTACTCAAGAGTGTGGTGCCAAGTGGCATCAGTGATACACTCTCAGGCGTGCTGGGAAATATTAACGTGAAAGACCTCTTGATAGGGTAAGTGCTTCCTTGACCCTAAGGTATGGCACAAGAGAAAAGTGATGTTTGGGGATTCTGAAGCTCAACCTCCTACAAACCCATGGAGACAGCCATATCTTCCCAAAGCAATATTCCAGCTCTGTGTTTTGGGGGGTGGAGGTATGGGGAGGGAATATGAACAAGATTTCTTGAGCTTAAGGAACTGGGTGGCTAACAGGACTGGGCCATCCGGAGGATGGGTGGGTTGGTAGGTTGTTAGTTGGCAGCTTCAAAGGCATTTCTCCTGCTGCTCAGGCTGATTCCTTGTCAGGACTGACCCTGGATGCTGATGTTTTGCAGGTTAGAGGTTCAAAAAGCAACTGTGGAGAGCATGATGTTGACCATGGCTGATGATGAGATCCTTGTTCAAGCTGCGACTACCGCCTTCATAGGTGGAAAAGGGTGAGCCTGTCTCCAAATCAGTCAACTATACAAACCTGCAACCCTATGCCTGCTTTTGTTCTTAATGCAGATTTTGGTTACAAAGGTGTTTGCTCTGTAATATCTTCTGAGTTGCCCTGGACCAGACCCTTAATATCCAATGTCCAAGAGCTGGGCAGGGACAACACAGAGGAAGGCAGGATGTCTGAGGGTGGGGCAAATTAGGCAGCAAATTAGCCCCTCTCCTCCAGCCCAGAGGGCCAAGCTGGGATAATGACCCCATGGAACCCCATCTTCAAAGAGTGTAAACAAAGCCGGAAATCCAAATTCCTTGTAAAACATGCACATTTATACAGATGGCCAATGTAAAGAGAAACCACAGAGGGCACCTCTTACTGACCGCACTGGGTTCATGAGAAGTGTAGCTTCCAAACCATCTGCACTCTCCAGAGAGAAGCAGCCCACTCTCACAAACACTGTCCTAGGCAGTTGGGGGAGACAGAGATGGTTGATTGCTTCTCCAGAAGCTAACAATGGAAACATGCATGCATGCTCAAGTCCATTCATCCACCTAACATGCAGTACTCTGTACCAGACCTCATGCTGGGCACAGAGGGAGCAACTAAAAGTGGGCCCTGTCCTCGGGGAGAGTCCACATGTGGGAGAGGAACACGGTCACAGGACAGGCCCAGGGCACACAGAAAGGCAGGAGAAGGGCAGGAACCCCCCGGGAGAAGAGGACTCTTGGACTAACCCTCGGCACTGATACTTCTCACTGACCGAGCTCCATCCAGGCACCTAACTGAGGCACTCTCAACTTCCAAAGCCTCTTGACAACCTCATCAAGAAAGCAGCCCTGTCTCAAGACTGGGAAACCAGCTGAGACCCACAAACTGGTTATGAACCTTGCTCAGTGCCACACAGCTGAAATGTGGCAGTAACAACACTTAAATCCTGGCATTCTGCCCCCACAGCCCATGTCTGTGACCAACACAATGCGCAGTGGTAGGAAGAGCCATTCACCTTCTTCAGAGCATGTGACGGTAATAAGAGCAGGTGTGGCAAATGGTGGGTTTTTCTTACGCTGTCACTCACACCACAGACAGCTGGGGTGCTGGGCACAAAAGTGAACCTGTAATGAGCATCCAGTTACAAGTAGCCTTAGTGCCTCCAGAAAGAAAAAAAGAAAAAAAGACTTCCTGATGTTTGGTCAGGAGAGGGATTTTCCAATGACTACGGAATGCCAGCCTCTGAGTCCTTTCTACAGGGGATGTTCAACCATGGGTCATGCTCATTAGAAAGCACCAAACTTTTCCTGTCTCCAATAACCTGGACAAATTCATGAGGCTGACTCCCAAAATGACTATCACTTCGGCTAAGCAACCTCTTGCCGCCAGGTCTGGTTTCATCTCTATCTTGTTCTCCACAGCCTGTTAGGACCTGTAATCAGCATACTGGGATTTCAAATAAGTGGCGATGTGACTCTGAAAATTGGTGTTTCCACAAACAACACCCAATGTGTCAGCTTCCAAGTCCAGGACAAGGTCATCAAGGCTACGAAAGTGTGCCTTCAGTTGGTGAGGACGTACGTGAGACCATTTTCATCATTTTTTGGATCAATAGGCCTGTGTGCCAGAATGTTTTTTATGTTAAATCTACCTAGAGCTTCATTATGGGGATGCACTATAATTTATTTAACCAGTTCCTTATCAAATAATGGGGTTTTTTTTAATTATTAACTTTTATACCCAATACTATTATAATTAGTAAAGTCCCAGAAAAACCTACTCATCAAAGTGCACAGTATCTGATGGATAATTTCTCCTTTTATTCAATACTTTTTAAAAAAAATTATTCAGAGCCATAGCCGGTTTGACTCAGTGATAGAGCGTCGGTCTGCGGACTGAAGGGTCCCAGGTTCGATTCCGGTCGAGGGCATGTACATTGGTTGCGGGCACGTCCCTGGAAGGGGGTGTGCAGGAGGCAGCTGATCAGTGGCTCTCTCTCATTGATGTTTCTAACTCTCTATCTCTCTCCCTTCCTCTCTGTAAAAAATCAATAAAATATATATATATTTTTTAATTATTCAGAGAGGTAGGGAAAGGAAAAGAGAGAGAGAAACATCAGTGATGAGAGAGAATCATTGACCATCTGCCTCCTGCAGGCCCCACACTGGGGATGAAGCCCACCACCGGGGCATGTACCCTGACCAGGAATCAAACTGTGACCTCCTGGTTCATAGGTGGACACTCAATTATTGACCCATGCTGGCAAACTGAAGGGTAATTTCATCCATGTGAAACACTGGGTCAAATGTCCAGCTTTGATGATTTTCCCAGCTATCCTCACTTCTCCCTTCATGACTATAACTGAAAGTGAGAGGGCTCAGGTAGTTGCAAATTGTAAGCAGCAGGACATCACTGCAGCTGTATCATCAATAGATGAGTTCTCTCCAATGTCGGACAAAATCCAGAAATGCAAACTCACACAGCTCTCCCCATGTCTCTTCCCAGGGTCACAGATATTGTGCCTCTCCCTCTTCCTCTGCCCTTGGATGATGTCATTTCTCAACTGCTGACAGTTGCCTTGAAGGAGAAGGTGAGTCACAGGAAAGGGGCGGGCACCACCACAAAGGTCTGTGTCATGTGTGGGGAGACAGGAAGAAGCCTTTCCTCAGACATGGCCTGCTGCCGGGAGAGACGTGGGAAGGACACATCGGCCTTCAGGAGTCCAGGGGCTAGGAGATGCAACATTCCCTCTGACCCCAGCAGCAGGATAGGACAATGCCTCAAGCTGGTGGGATAGGGGGAGAGGATGGGTTCTGCCAAAAAGAAGGCCAGGAAACAGAAGAGGGAGAAGGGAAGTAGAAGAGGAAAGAGGAGAAGAGGAGCTGGGTGTGGAGGTGGGTGGGACTGCTGCATGTCCTCGCAAAGCTAACTGGTGGTTAATTCACAGACCAAAGAATCAACATCATGTGACATTGATCTCAGTGATTTCAGCGAATGCAACAACTGTGAGTACAAACACCTAACTTCCGGGGGGCTGCCCAGGTCAATGCAGGAAGATGGCCAAGCCCCATAGGAATCCCATTGGGTGACAGACAGGAGATGGGGCTGTGAGCTGCAACACTGGGTACCTCCAAGCACCCAACCAACTCCTCAGCACGCTCAGGGCACACAATGTGGCAGCGTACCTGCTTCTCCAAATTACTGAGTCTCGTTATCAGGCCATAAAGAACAAAAAGCCCCCTTGAGGCTGGGTGGTAGCTCCCAAGCCTAGATTGTTTTTGCAAAGTGCACATATGCATGAAGTCTGAACAAGCAGCAGTCCTAGGCCCTCACACCAGGGAGGCTGAGAGGCAGAAATTCCTCTTAATATCCCTTTACATATCTAAGGTATGGGATAATGGGACTTTGTCAGGCAGCTGCCATCAAGACAGCCAATGTAGGAAATTGGTGATACTTGTCATGTCGCGAGGTAGACAAAGCATGGGACCTGGGCAGCAAGCCTTTTCCTCCCCCCAGAGGTTTCAGCACAGCAGGGGCAGGGCTGGGTCCTCATGTCACCTTCCTCCCTGCAGCTTCCTCCTAGACTCATGAGAAGAAGCCAGACTGGCACCAGCTTTCTCTGTGGGACTGAAGGGAAGGATGGTGTCACCCTGGTCTCCCATCTGGAGGGCAGAGCCAGGCAGAGAACCCAGGGCCCCACACCCGTTAGGGGTCTGTCGGGTCCCTCTAGGTTCTCTCTTCTCTCCTGCAGCTACCGGCTTGTTCGAGTACCAAGTTAAAAGTTTCCAGCTATCTGAAGAAGGTCTTTCAACCCTCTACTGTGTAAGTGCTGTTTGCTCTTAAGATAAATTCTGCAAGAAAGCTGGAAACATCCTTGATCTCACAAATACACTCCAATAACATGACAAGCCAGCCTTCACCCCCTCTCAGATCCCAGACCTTGACCATGGGGTGAATCTCCAGGCTTCCACCACAACACCTGAGCATCTGCCATGGGGGTCAGCCATGTTGCCCTTCCATTTAAGTCCAATGTACAATGCCTGACAGGCATTCCACCTATGCAACCATTTGTTGACCAGTAGGATGTGGCAAGCACAGGTCCAGACACTCAATAGAAAATATGCAAGAAAAGAAAAAGGGCCAACTCACCCCATCCACCCATCTCAACCACCTGGGAACACAAAACAGGTCACACAGAGTACTGAAGGAGGGCAGGTTTTGTGACCCACTTAGCTCCACTTCTGGGAATTCATCTGTACAAGCACCCTAAGTGCATATATATTTAAGGACAAATAAATATAAATATTAACGATGAAAAAAAAGGATAAAAAACTAGAAAGGAACAAAAAGAAAGTAATTGAGCCTAATATGAGATCATTTGAAATTTTTAATGATTCACAGAAATACTTAAGAAACTGTTAATTTTTTAAGTAAAATGAAAATGATATTAAGTATGCCAACAACAGAATCTCTTTTCCCTTCTTCATACTTCTCTGAACTTTTCAAATTTCCTGCCATGTGGAATTTGAATTTTATAAGCAGAGGGGGAAATGCATATGAAATGTAACTATTCAATGGAGGCCAGAATATCTATTAAAAGGTTTTATAAACAAGATGGGCCTTGAGCTTAAGAAGGAGCCATTCCAAGCTGGGAGAACATGTAAAAAAAAAAAAAAAGGTAGGAACTATCAACACTTAGATGGGGGAATTTATCTGAAAAAAGGGGGACTTGTGGCTTCTGTTGAAAAGTCAGAGGTCTGGGGGCCTGAGCCACACGGTATGAGGGATAATCAGCTGAAGAAAAGCAATGGTTCCTTGTTTCAAAGGAGGTCCTGTCTCCAGTCTCCACAAACCCCACAGCTCCCAGGTCCCACAGCACAGGCTGGGAGGTCTGCTGCTCTTTGTCCTCATGCTCATCCATTGCAGTGCTCACATGGGGCCACCTCACTCCTCAACATCCCAGCTGGGCCTCCAAAGGCAGAGAAATTGATGTTAGCCTCACATGATGGCATGGTGATTTTCTGTTGTTTTCTCTCTAGGCCTCCTTCAACAGTGAAGTCCTTCTGCCTGGAAGCCCCCTTTCTCCAAATCCTAAAAATGCCAACATTTCCATAACCATGTCTAACACAATGCTCAGGGAAATCGTCACCCTCAGTGCCAAGCAGAGCCCCACCCAGGTAAGCGTCATCCACACGGCCCCTGGCACCACTCTCCTCTTTGCTTAAGCCTAGTCTATCAACCTCTAAGCCTGAGAAGATAGAAATGGCTTCTGGGACATTCTTTGAGAGACAAATATGAGGAAATGGAAATACACATTTTCCTTTTGGATCGTCTAAGTGGATCCGATTTACATCAAGGAAAGCAGGGAGCAAGGGCACTGGAGGACAAATGCTTTCTGAGTACATTCTATGTGCCAGGTACACTGCCAGTTGTCTTTACATAATTAATGACACTTCATCCTCACAACACATCTGGGAAATAGTGATCCTTATTCTCATTTAGCAGATGACCAGAGTGAGTGAAGTAACTTACCAACAGTTACAGCATGAGCAAGGGAGTGGGTTTATCCCCTCCTGTGAGGTATTCAATTGCTCTCAGTGGTAGAAGGAATAGTAGTAGTCATTAGTTAAAACAAAACCTAGAGGCCTGTGCATGGATTCATGCAACAGTGGGGTCCCTCGGCAGGGCCTGCGGGGATCCGGCCCAAACCTACAGTCCAATGCAACCGGCTGCTCCTGCCTGCCACTCCCACTCATCCCGACCCTGACGCAGTCAGTCCTGATCAGGAGAGGCTTGCACCACCACAGCAGTGCTCAGCAGTTGTGAGCCCTGTGTCTGGTGCCCATCAGTCAGCTGAGAGGCGCTGACTGTGGGAGTGCATTGACCAACAGGGGGCAGCTATTGCATTGAGGGTCTGCCCCCTGGTGGTCAGTGCGCATCATAACGACCAGTTGACTGGTTGTTCAGTTGTTAGGTTGCTTAGGCTTTTTTTTTTTAATATATTTTATTGATTTTTTTTGCCCCCCTCCCTCCCTCCCACACATCCCCTCAATCCCCAGAGTTTTGTGTCCATTGGTTGTACTTATATGCATGTATAAAAGTCCTTCGGTTGATCTATTATCTCCCCCAGATCTTCCTCCCCTCCCCGCTGAAATTTGACAGTCTACTTGTTGATACACTGTCTCTATATCTATCTTTTGGTTCATCAGTTTATAATGTTCTTTATCATCCACAAATGAGTGAGGTCATGTGGTGTTTCTCTTTCATTGATTGGCTTATTTCACTCAGCATGATGTTCTCCAATTCCATCCAGGTTGCTGCAAATGATGAGAATTCCTTCTTTTTTATGGCAGCATAGTATTCCATTGTGTAGATCACATGTGTCAAACACAAGGCCCGCGGGCCAAATCCGTCCCGCCAGGCCTTGCAATGTGGCCCACACCGCGCTGTCATCACTGCACTCCGCTGCGTTTCCATCACAATGACAGTTTATGACTGTTCAGTAAACCATTCGGACTGCGATTTAGGCTGGATTTTAGATTTTGGCCCCTTCTCTGATTGAGTTCGACACCCCTAGTGTAGATGTACCAAAGTTTTTGGATCCAATCATCTGCTGACGGGCACCTAGGCTGTTTCCAAATTCTGGCTATTGTAGATTGTGCTGCTATGAACATAGTGGTGCATATATCCTTTCTGATTGGTGTTTCTAGTTTCTTGGGATATATTCCTAGAAGTGGGATTACTGGGTCAAATGGGAGTTCCATTTTAAGTTTTTTGAGGAAACTCCACACTGTTCTCCACAGTGGTTGCACCAGTCTGCATTCCCACCAGCAGTGCACGAGGGTTCCTTTTTCTCCGCAACCTCGCCAACACTTGTTGTTTGTTGACTTGTTGATGTTGGAGGCTTTTATATATATAGATAATAATCACTGAGTACTGTCTATGTGCTTTAGGCTCTGTTTCAAGCAATGTACAATGTATCCTTAACAAAGCCTCCCGAAATAATCAAATACAGAGTTATCTGCCACTAGAGCATAGAAATAAACAGGCTTTAGCCCTTGCCAGTATGCTCAGTGGACAGAGCATCAGCCTGTGAACTAAAGGATCCCAGGTTCGATTCCTGGTCAGGGCTATGCCTGGTTTGCGGGCTCATTCAAGAGGTAGCCCATCAATAATTCTCTCTCATCATTGATGTTTCTCTCTTTCCCTCTCCCTTCCTCTCTGGAATCAATAAAAACATTTTTTTAAAGGAAAAAAACATGCTTTAAATTGAATGAGAAGTAATAGAAAAGTAAAATTTTATCTGTTATATGCACCACTGTGCTTCTGAGAAAGAAAAAGAGATAAATGGCAAGGTCTGAAATTAGGCCCTGTCCTGTGGTTAGATCAGCCATGCCAGCACCTGGCTAGGTGACTAACTCATATTACAGGATCAATAAATATTTGAATAAAGGAACTGAATGAAGCATGGGTGTTTCATAATGCAACATTCTGCGGTCCTTCTTCTTCTCTCCACACTCTAAATGATGACTTCTTTACAACAGATGAATAACCTGAATGCATACATCACCAAAATAATCTATAGCAGCCTGCCAGACAACCAAGTCCGAGCCATCTACTGGGTCGATGTGGATAAGGATGGTGAGAGCTTTGCCCAAGGGCAAACGGTGAGTGCTGAGTAGTAACAAATCAGGATCCCACCACAAAGAGTGTTTGATGGGGGGTGGGGGGGGAACACACGGTTACCACCATAACCCTGAGGGCCTGGGTGACCCTAAGACAAGGGGCATCAACCAGGGTGGTGGGCTCAGCCACCAGGGGAGGATAAACAGGTTGTCTCCACTCTAGTTCTGACCTGTGGCCTTGTTGGTCATATTTTCTAAGTATCCTGGTCAAGGCATTATTTTTAACTCGTTTGTTTTATATTAATGCAGAAGATACTCATCTCCTATAAGTGCAAGATTTTAAATGGAAAATTGGTATCAGACATCAAGATTGTAAGGTACTGTCTATTACTGAAAACTCCTCTTGACACTTGTCAGTATAGGAAGCTGTTCAGAACTCTATTCAGATCACATGAGAAGAATAATGGACAAGGTCCTTGGTAAATACTTGGATCATTACAGAGAACTCAGAACAAAGTCTTACCTACATGCTGTATTCACCTTAAATTTGATCTTTCTGTGTTTGAAACTTTGTAAGTTACTTTAATAAGGGACTGATCTAATACTTAAACTCTGTGTTAGAATTAGTTAATATTTTTTATTTGAAAATAATTTTTCCTTGTACTTTGTTTCCTGACAGACTTGAACACAGCACGAACCCCCCTGAGGCTGTAAGTTGATTAGATTTTCAAAATATTTATCTAAGATGCGTGAGAAATTGTTTTAAACCCAGACACTTAGTGACACAGGGACTCTGGAAAGGGAACGGTCACACAGACCAGGTCACAGACGCAGTGTGGAATATGGCTGCGAGCTCCAGCCCAGGCCCTCCCTGGGGAACTCCTAAAGTCAGTCCTAAATCCATTGCCACAGCGCCACATCAGTCAGTCACCCTAGTGAAAACCCAAAATCCGTGCTTTGTTAGTGGGATGGGTCATTCTGTCTTGGGATTGGTCCACTGGAAGAATGAAAAGATTATCTAGATTCTAATCTTTCTTCAGCTCATGGGAATTTCTTAAAAAACATGCCCACCCTCCCACGGCCTCACCTTTCCCATCAGAAGTTTTTCACCATGTCCTCCTGAGCAAGCGCATGGATCACCAGAGGAGAGCTTGGAGGATAGGGAAGTGGGAAGAGTGAGGGTAGCGCCCAGTGACGAGGCTCCAAGCACAGGGGCGGAAACTCACGAACAATTCACCAACCAACCCCATTCTTAACACATTTGACCTTGCACATGTTCATACACAGATTCGTCCAACAAACATTTAGTGAGCGCCACTATGAGCCCAGCTCTAAAAATGCAACTCCCTAACCCCAGGAGTGACCCTCTCATTGAAGTGGAAAGACAGAGACAGATTACGAGAATAAATAAGCCAAATCATTAAGGGACTGATAACCACACATTGGGTGGAAGCACACAATGGGCACTGAGGTGAACAACCTTGTCACTATGTGTGAACTGTCTGTGTCCTATATGTCAGTCCTGAGATAATGGGGGTTGAAGGGTCTGTCAAGAGGCAAACTCTGGGAGTCACAATGCAAAACCCAGAGTTCTTTCATCTCATTGTTAGTGGGGAGGCATGTGCTATGCCAGGCTGTGTGAAGTGAAAGGAACACAGAAGGCCTGGTCTTTGGCCTCATGTAACCACCTACCTGACAGGGACATTTATGCAAATAGCTGAGCATGAAGAATACGGTGGAAGAGAACCAACTGGGAGGCAGACAGTGGGTTCACTGAAAAAATGATGCCTGAACTCAGCTTTGAAGGAGGAGCAGGAGTTTGACACAGACTAAAAGTGTGTGCCAGGTAGAGGAAACAGAATGTAGAAAGGGTAGGCAGCAGGAGCTCATAGGCATGAGGAGGAAGGGAACACAAGGAAGGAAGGTACATGGAGCATCAGCAGGGAGGACCAGGTCAGGGAGGGACTTGGTTAGGACACAAAAGAGGAAGCATTCAGCAGCAACCAATCCTCCCCAGTCCGGACCTCAGTGTTTGTCCTGAGGGCACACAGTTGTACAGCTATGCCTCCCGCAGTGCCTGGAACATAACGAGAGTCCAATACACATTTATTGGGAATTACCTCAGACGTTAAAACCTACCGAAGGGTCTCTGAAAATACCCAAAGAATTAGAGGCCTGAGAGATAGAATGAAACCCATCTCCCTACATAACCTCCCCCAGTAACAGACTTCTTCCACTAGAAAAAAACAAACCACATACACAGAGGCACCCGAGACTGCTTTCCCTGATGTGAGGACTAGCCGGGGGACTGGCAGATTGACTGACAAAAATGTTCCTCCCATCTCTTCCAGATAGACGAGCTAAAAGATGTGATGTCTGCAGTTACGAAGAAATTCATATCTACCATTATGGGTATGTGGAGTTAATAACATGAACACCTAGAAGAGTCAGTGTCACAAGCAATGTACAGGGTGTGAAGCCACATCGTAGAATGTGTTGTGGCAGTGAGCACAGAATCGTCTTATCACCATCTGGATCAAAGAGGACTTCTTTGTTTTTATTTTTATTTATGTTTTATTTCTTTTATCCTCATCCAAGGATATTTATTCTATTTGTTTAAATATATTTTTATTGATTTCAGAGAGGAAGGGACAGGGAAAGAGAGATAAAAATGTCAATGATGAGAGAGAATCATTGATCAGCTGCCTCCTGCACACCCCACACTGGGGATCAAGCCTACAACCCGGGCATGTGCCCTGAGTCGAACCGCGACCTCCTGGTTCATAGGTCGATGCTCAACCACTGAGCCATGCCAACTGGGCTGGGCTTCTTTGTTTTTAGATAGGGACTCCAGCATCTTCAGATGGCAAAACATAAAACCCAAATCAAAATATCTCTTCTACAAGTCCAAATGAAACCCAGCCCACTCGGTGTCTTCTGAAAAACAGCATCATGCCCCTTAGAGGCAAAATGGACCCAGGTCACTAGTCACACAGATACTAGGGCTTAGGAAATTCAAGAGCCTGCAGTCATAACCCTATGAATATGCCACCTACACATATTTATGATGAACTCTAAGGGTGTTCATCATATGCAACTCAAATGGCACCAAAACAGCAGGGCCTAAATCTTCTGGTTTCTTAAGATAGTGAGGGCAGACACACCAGCATATCTCTTGGTATCAATTCTTTGCGCATAGAATGCTCACCAGGTTTCCAGTTACTTCTAGGCTTCTCTGGTCCTTGTGAACTCACCCACACACACAAAAGACTGAGAGACACAATATCTTATTTGAATGACGCTGCTGAATGGGCAGGGGGTGATTTATCCTAGAGCCATACATGGCCCAGAGATCCCTCCAGTTGGCTGTGGATAGGACACAAAGAGGAAGCACTTGTCCTTATTTTTGTCAACTCATGTCATAAAATGCTCCTTCTTCATTTTAGACATTTCCAGTCAATGGAATATTCCGCCAGGAATAGCCTCAAATCTGCTGGACAATGCCAAGGCTGAACTGCTTAAATTGGTAAGAGAGCACAAAATACAAATGTTTTCTTTTGCACTAAAGCCCACTCTATGCTTCAGTCTTCAGAGGCATCACAGGCAGCTCCAAGCTGCCTTAACAGCTCCACCCCACTGCCCATCTGTTTCCCAGGCAGATCCACTACCTACTGCCCCTTTCTTCACCATATAAGCCCTACCATTGAGACACTCCTGTTCCTATAATCAAATATTCTGTCCACTGTTCTCATGCAGACTCATACTTCATTGAATATGCCTCAATCACCTCTTTGGAAACATGTCCACTACATATGCCTGACTCTCAGTCACCTTGTGTCTGCTGGAGCCTCTCATTCTCTGCCACCCTGACACAAATACCCCCCTTTTTCTCACCTATCCTCCCCACACCAGAGGAAATTTAAAGGAAAACTTGCTTCCTAAAAAAAAACAAAAAAAAAAAAAAAAACTGTTAAAAGAATGAGATTTTTATTTAAATTTAACATCAGAAAAATGATGAGGATGGAACAAGGGAAGATATATGAGGGAGTAAAGAAATGTAAAATATCACATCCCCCCCCCAAAAAAAGAACCAAAATAAATAAATAAATTTCCTACCACCCTTATATATTCCATTCTTAATAAACGTGCTTCATGAGTGTAATATCTGACAAAAAAAATAATAATAATAACTTCTTTTATGTTGGCTCAAACCTCAAAGTTGTGCATTCCCACATTTATTTCACCCCCAAAGTCCTATATCTGTGGCCAAATCAATTACTAGCATGGAGAGGGTGGTGAAATCAGCATTTGCCTCAGTGCTGGTGTCCTTTCTCCTGCTCCTACACCCCATTCCTCTGGGCGGCCTGGGACACATCCCTTAGCCTCCCTAAGTCAGCTTTGAGTCAAGGGATTGGATCAGAGATGAGTGCCAGCTGTATTTCAGCTACAAGTGGCAGAAAGCACCACACAAACTGGTGTAACAATAAAATCATCAGTCCTGAACATTCAGAGATGGTACTAGCGTCAGCAGTGGCTCGATTCCGGGCCCAAACGATGACACCAGAATCCATGTCTTGGTTCCACCAGGTCTGGGTGGTCCCCCACCTACCAGGAGCTTCACCATCCAATTCTTTCTGGAACAGCTCAGATGACAATCACCGAGAAATAACCTCCGGGGCTCCCACTGGCCTGACTTGCTCCCTATCCCCATCCTTAGGGCAAGTGCTGTGGTCAGGGAGATGGAGGGCACAGCTGGCACCTGTGCCTGCAGCCAGCTTATATTAACAGTTATAATTAGTTCTTTTATCTCCCCACAGAGAGACCTTCAGGCAGCAAACTAAACCCAGCACGTGGGCTACCAAAGCATTTCCGAAAATGAAAGCACTGTGAAGCTTCTCTTATGGAGTCAAGGACATCCTTGTGATTAAGGAGCCAAGCTGAATAGTGTTCTGAATATGTCAACTACTCTTTGGAACCAGTGTCACCTTAAATTAACACGTGCAAGAAAATCAAGAACAGGGTTTGGGGTATTTTGTAATCATCTCTTTAATAATTATCCTGTTTTCATGCAGAAAATGACTCATTTGTCTTTAATTCTTACAAATAGGAGTTTTATAGTGTGTTCATGATAAGTAAAAGCACTATACATACTAAGGACATAAAGTCAATAATGTGAATGATGAGGCAGCAATGGCCAGGATTAATTTACCTAGGGCACTAAAAGACAATCTTGACCATGATGAAAACTCTTTTTCCCATACCTCTGCCCTCCCCTTTCCAACTCCAAGTGCTTTCTTTTGCCCACTGGCCCACCATGAAAATCACACAGGGGCTGGGATCCAATGTCCCATCATCACATGTTACGCAGAGAAAAGCACAGACCAGATGCTAAACGCTGGATAGAAAGAGCAGGTAACCCTCTGGTGATACCATAAAAACTGTGCTCAGTGTCTTGAGATTAAACTCAGTGAACAAAGCCAGACACAAAAGATCACATATTGTACAGTTTATTTTATAGAGGCCTGGTGCATGAAAATTCGTGCACTCAGGGGGATCCCTCAGCCCAGCATGTGCCTTCTCACAGTCCAGGACTCCTTGGGGGATGTCCACCTGCTGGCTTAGGCCAGCTCTTGAGGAGATTGGGCCTAAGCTGTCAGTCAGACATCCCTCTGGCAGCCCAGGAGGCCTCAGGGGATGTCTGACTAATGAGTTGGGCCTGCTCCCCTGTGCTGCTGCAGAGGCAGGAGAGGCTTCTGCCACCACAGCTGCACTGGCTAGCCATGAGCCAGCTTCTGGCTGAGCGGCACCCCTCCCTGCTTTGGAAGCACACTGAACACCAAGGAGCAGCTCCTGCATTGAGTGTCTGCCCCTGGTGGTCAGTGCAAGTCATAGCAACTGGCCATTCCGGGTCTTTCCGCTGTTAGGGTCAATTTGATTATTACCCTTTTATTATATAGGATATTCAGACCAACTAAATGTACAGAAACAGAATACAAAGTTGTGAATGCCAGAAGAACAGAGATTAGGTAAGGCAGAATAAGGGTTTTATTTAGGAGTAATGGAAATGTTTTGGAACTAGAGGTAGTGGTTCCACAACATTCTCAATCTACTAAATGCCACTAAGTTGTTCCCTTGACAATGGTTACTTTTATGTTGTGTGAATTTCACTTCCATTTTAAAACAAAACACCTTCCCACCTAAATTAGCACACAAAAAAAGTAGACCTAGCACCCATATTGGTTTGTGATATCATTCTTCATAAAAGTAATCAGGGCCAAAACAGATTTGGCTCAATGGATAGAGCGTCAGCCTGTGGACTGAAAGATACATGCCCTTGACCTCGATTACGGTCAAGGGCATGTACCTTGGTTGCAGGCACATTTCAGTAGGGGGTGTGCAAGAGGTAGCTGATTGATGTTTCTCTCTCATTGATGTTTCTAACTCTATTCCTCTCTCTTTCTCTCTGTAAAAATTCAATAAAATATAAAATAAAATAAAATGTAATCAGGGCTCTTGGGGAAAATGCTAATTCTAGGATTGGAGAGGAAATAGGAAGATGGCCCTACAGCTTCTTCTACTCACAGAAAGTAGCTGGTTCTGCTTTGCTAAGGATTTTTTCCCTGATACTGCCTGTTTCCTCTGGCCCCTCAAAGAATATTCTGAATTCAGGGCTCAATGTTTCAGAGAAGGAAGGGTTCCTCAGAAAATGGACCAAAAGCCTGAGTTTTCCAAGTCCAGGCCCTGAGAGGATAAGGTATAGAAAGACACACAGAAAATCTACACGCACAGGAGAGATTCCCTAATTGAGAGAGGGAGGAAACAGGGAAGAGAAGTTTTGGATTTCCTAAGAAAATAAAGGACTACAAAGCCCAGAGATATTTGAGGCCTTGAGTACAGAGGAAATGGGCAAAGGAAAGCAGCCAGACCACCAAGAAAAAAGCTGGGTCCAGGTGGGTGACTTTGAGAAGCTGCACCTCACAGCTGCAACTCAGAGGTTCCTTGGCCCTACAAAGTGTGGCAGGCAGCAGTGCCACCAAGGGAGAGCCTGAAGCTTCCCTCCCACCAACATTCCAGTCCCATGTGCCTGCGCAGGCAGGGCAGTGAGCAGAGAAGGGCAGGGAACCAGAGAGCTTTGCATTCTGATGAAAACAGCTCCGTAATTGCCAAGCGTGAGGACAGAATGTGGAAAGGTTCTAAGATAGGAACAAGGTAGGTGTAAGGAAAATACTAAAAAGAGAGCCAGTGCAACTACTAGTACAGAAATTAGCAAGAAGGGTTGAGGAAGAAGGACACAGAGGAAGGCAGGAGTCATACCACACAGAGCCTCCGTAGCCAGGGCTAAAGATAAATGTGTTATTACTGTGGATCACTGACAAGTGTAAGCAAGAGAGTGATATGATCTCAATTCTGTCATGCATTTTAGGAGAGAAGAGATTGAGCCAGAGCTACAAAGCAACAAACCCTCACGGGGGAGGGTGGGCAGGCGGATAACAATGTCTGTTTCAACATGAGAATTCAGGGGATCCATCCCTGAGGTGTCCAAACGGATCACCCACAGGAGCCCATATCCCCACCCAATCCTACATAATAAAAGAGTAATACGTAAATTAGCCATGACTCCGCGACAAAAAATGGCGGCACCCATAGCAGATGCTGGCGGCATTGCCCAGGCAACGGGAGCCCAGTGTCTGCTCCTTGGCCGCGGAGGGAGGAGAGGGGTCTCTGGCCAGAGGACTGGGAGCAGGACATGAGCTCGCATCGAGAGCTCAGCGTCCAAGCCACAGCTGTGCTGCGGGAGAGAAAGAGCCTGTGGGGCCACGAGCGCAGCGTCTGCACCGCAGCCAGCCATGCAGCAGGAGGGAAGAGGCCTGTGGGGCCACGAGCGCAGCGTCTGCACCGCAGCCAGCCATGCAGCAGGAGGGAAGGAGCCTGTGGGGCCACGAGCCCAGTGTGCAGGCCTCAGCTGTGCGGCCAGAGGGAAGGAGTCTGTGTGGCCGTGGGCCCAGAGTCCATGCCCCAGCTTGCCATGCAGCAGGAGGGAAGAGGCCTGTGGGGCTGCCAAGCTCAGCATCCCAGTGGCAGGGGAGGAACCAGAAAGAGGGATCTTTCCAGTTCCTGATGCTGACAGAGCCCTATGGGTGCCAAGGTCCTCCACCTGCAGCTCAGCAGCCCCAGTCGCAGTCTGGAAGCCCCCTGCCAGCAGTCCAGACAGGACCAGTGTGGTGCCGCAGTGGGGTGGGAGGGTGTCCGGCAGGCACACTACAGACATCAAATCACTACTGCCGAGGCCACCCCTACACACACACACACACTCACAAGTACTATGGTCCAAGGGAGCGACTCCTGAGGCAAGGCTCCCATGGCAGCTGATGCGTAGCTGGGCAAGGAAGCCGGACCTGAAAGCCCAAGCCTCTGAGTACCCAAGCTGCAGGGCGTCGTGGGCCGGGGCCCTGAGGAGGCCCCAGGACAAGCATCTTCCCAGAGGCTGTGTGGAAGGAGGGGAGGAACCTCTGGCTAGAGGCCAGGTGAGGGATGCTGGCGTCTTTGCAGGCCAAGACCAGGCTGAGGGACACCTCCCCCACCCACCCTGCCCCCGCACCCCCATGCATGAATTTTATGCATCGGGCCTCTAGTGCATTCTGAAAAGGGGTGGAGGCAGGAGGAAGGAGGCCTGAAACTCCCTGACTCAGGTATGACTGTCACTTTGCATACTCAGAGCTGCTGTCTTACCTGATTCTCATAAACCCCATGTAGAAGAAGCAAGCAAGTGACACACAGAGAAACTGAGGCTCGGAGAAGTAGGCCCATTCATTAGTTCATTCATTCACTTGTTCAACATTTACTGCACTCTGGGTGGACACAGGATAGACACACCCCAGCCCTTGAGAATCTCTTGGACAAGAAAGAAGAAGACAACTGGCATGTCCTAGACCAAGGTTCTGGTTTCAGGCACATCTGGACTAGAACACCCAGCTCTGTCACTTTTGCAGGTGAGCAGCTTAAGTGCTCTCAGCCATAGTCTCTTCATCCCTAAAAGGAAATATGGGTGATTGCGTGAGGCTATTTATGCTACTGACCATGATGATGGGTTTTGTAAGAGTGAAAAGCGTTTTCTGGGGGCTCATTAATAGGGGTTTGGTAGTTGTAACCACAACATTAAGACTCAGGTTTCATGGGGTGGCGGGGGTGGGGAGGTGGGGGGCGAACAATGGTAGGATATATACACATATAATACCTTAATTTAAAAAATAGGGGGGGGGAGGAAGACTCAGGTTTCAGTGTGGCTTCCATGACATGACCTTTCTCTGCATCTCAGGCAAAGCAGTTTCTCCTCCAGGTGAAACTCAAGGTGCCTGATTCAATAGGCAAATGCCACTAAGGTGCCACCTGCAGTCATATATGGAGCCAACTTGTTGCATTTGCAGAAAACGATGCCAACTAGCAGCAATGTGTAGCCAGTGAATGGCAAACCGACAGGAGGTGCTCAGAGAAAAAGCAGCAAAAAGCAAGTTCCCACCAGCCACATCCACCTCTGGGAATGAATGAAAAGCACCTGTTGGCCCACACATACTCCACTTGGACTTCCAAAGCAGAATCCACGGACCCAACACTGAATGTGGACATCAGTGGGGAATTTGGGTAAAAAAGGAACAAAGCCTAAACACAGGCATCTGCAAACATGTCTTAAAGTAAATTCTTGGCCTTTCCAAACCTCTTAAACATTTATGACATACACAGGTGTAGTAGAATGTATCAAACTCTATCCCCAACTGAAAATATAAACTTCAGAGTGAGGTTAAAATGGCTCTATACTGCCCTAGCTGATTTGGCTCAGTGGATAGAGAGTCGGCCTGCAGACTGAAGGGTCCCG